TTAGCAGTACATATTACTAGAGACCAAAAGGGCAACTTGCAGTGTGGGCTGGAGTTTTCAGGGAAGGAATCATAAGGACAGAGAATGTGAAGTGACTCTGGGAATACCAGGAGTTTCTGGATTGGTGGGAGAGTCAAGGCAGAGGGATGTAAGGAGGACATAGTGAAGAAGCTCTCTGACTCCGAACCAAGGTAATATGCAATGAAAGAATGGGAGACAAAGTGTCTTCAGATGGTGAATTTAAATGTGATCTGATGGGTGATGGTGAAATGCTCTATTTTATTAACAAGGATGATATGCAACATTTTAGAAATCGCACTGTGAGAAGAATAATCTGAGGAAACACAGCGGGAGCGCTGACTCCACTCATCCTCACACAAAGTTAGATCCGAGGCAAGGCTCATCCAGGGAAAGTGAGAAAATCCCAGCAATAAGGAAAGACAACAGGCAGCGAGGACAGAAAGGACACAGTTTTGCTGTCCTCTCTTCTTCTTGTAGTCCCTGGGGATCGCCAGGAGTCCATTCAGAAGAGTCTGTCTCACAAAAATAGTTGGATTTCAAAGCAAGATAAAACTAATCTGAGGAAAAATTTCCTTTGGCAAAAGGAATGGAAGGCAAAGGTGGGGAAGGAAATCTGCTTAAAGGAACATGTAGGGACATTAACTCTATTAATTCTAAATGTGAAGTACTTTTTCAAGAGTGAGGTACAGAGAGCAACAAAATATGGACGTATGCGAGAGGAGACCCATGTGGAAGAAGCCTTAGTTGTGTGAACCTCATGCCCATACAAAATTCTTCCGTGGGAACCAGAGTTTGTATTGAGGCCAAGGCAGAAATGCCCCCAGAAATGAAGTGCTGTGTGACAGGGGAGTATTCACATAACCCTCGCTGTGTGGTTTAAGGCAGGGTCCAAATCACCAGGCCAGCAAACTGCACTAGACCAGCTGAATAAACTAATCCACTTTGGATTTCATTTGAGATTTCTCTCTTTTTTTTTTAAGTAATCTCTACGCCCAGCATGGGGCTTGAACTCACAACCCCAAGATCAAGAGTCACATGCTCCCCTGACTGAGCCAGCCAGGCGCCCCTGAGATATCTCAAAACGAGAAACAAGAGGTCAAACAAGATTCCAAACTGAACAAGAGACAGTTTACTCTAGCCATCACTGCCAATGAACATACATGACTACTTGCCGAGAAATTCTATCAAAATAACGGATTCAGATGAATTATAAAGAAATAAATTAACAATGGAAATATACACCCTACACTTTAGGTGCACATTAAAAATCTATGGACTTTAAGATAGCCAGATGGAAATAATTTTTCTTAAATGGTTTCAACCTCTGTAAAAGTTCACCATATGCTTCTGAGTCTCTACTTAGAAATCTTGCATTAAAAAAAAGATTATTATTATTATTTGCTTTATTGCCTCTGGTATTGGACAGATACAAGCAAGATTTTTAAGATCATCTTAGCGGCAGCTGAAAAGGTGTTAAAGCAAAAATAAATACTTTTTTGAGGAACACAGATGAGAGAGAAAGGGCAATAAGGAGGAGCTTTGCCTTAGGCTCAAATTTTGCATTATTTTGTAAAGGTAACAGTCCACTCTGGTTAAGGACTGGAAAAATTAAAGAAGACATATATAGAGGGGATAGCAGAAAAAAAATTATGTATTTTTCTAATAAAAATATCTAGACACACCAGTATTCCAAAAAATAGGAAAAAAATATAGTGTGTAACATAAAACACAAACCCTTTTAAAATGTGTGAAACCACCCCTCCCATTATCAGTGCAATGAGCAAGCTCTGCCAGCATTCATATATACTACCTGAAGAAATTTATGCAACTGTTTAGTTTCAGAGACAACAATAGGTCAAGTAAGTAGAATGTGAGACTAATTTCATTCATTTTATTTTCATGGGGGACTAAATATGGTACTTGATATAGAAGGCTTTCAGAAAGACTTTAATAAAGTATGTAATCCTATTTGAGAAGCAACAGGAGGCTATCTGAGTTAAATGAGAAGTTTAGTAAGATAATAAACAGCTGTGTAAGATTCTTTAAATTGAATTTCAATATTAACAAATTATATAGTGAAGAAAGACTAGTGTTTGCTCTCATCAGTAACTCTTGATCCTCAAGCTAACACTGAAAAAAAAAATATATAAGTTCCATTTTTAAAAAAATATAAGAATTAACAGAGGAAATATTTCATATTAAATGTACAAAGCTGATACAGATCTGTAAGACAGATTAATCAGACTCCATTAGACAAAGAGTTCAGAGACACAGAGCTTATATGTAAAGAAGCAAAGTTAACCTAGTCATTAAAAATATTAGGCATTATCGCTGATGAAATAAATACAAATTAAAGCAATTATGACAAACCATATAACTACCATAAAGGCATCAAATACTAGAAATTATTATATCAAATACTAAATCAGGTGTAGAGAACAGATACGTTCAAATGCCTTAGGTCACACAATTTTTAGCAATGAATACAGAAGACCTATCAGACTGTTTATACCCTTTGACGTACTAATTACACTCTGGAGAATATATCTAAGCATGTATCCCAAAGGGGAAAAAAGTGTATCACATTATTTTTAGTAAAAACAATGGAAACAACTCAAATGTGCAACAGGCAGGGGATGATACATAACCCGAAGAGAACAACATTGCTATTGGCAAGGAAGGAGTTCATGTTTATGATAAAGTAGAAAGCACATAACCCAAAACTTTTAAGTTAAAAGAAAAAAAAGAATGCAATGTGATATGAAACATTACTACTGTACAAAAATTTACGTTTATACACTAAAGACTGGTGTTTTGAAAATAGCTATTTTTTAGAGTGTATGGATTTTTTTTTTTTCTGTACAACTGCTACTAAAGTTGGTATGAAAAATAAAAGGAGACTAAAATAATTTTTGACATCATTGCTATTTCAAGGGGGAGTTTGTCAAGGTTTAGTGTAAGAAATCTTTCCTTTTTTTTTTTTTTTTTTTTAATAAACAGTATCAGGTTTCTCTGGAAAGTTATTTCTGGGAACTGTGAAGCAGACCAGACTTTGTACGGTGATATCTGCAATATTATGATAATATTTCCAATGTAGACTCACGGTTCCGTGGCTGGAAAACTTAGTTTTGATAAGCTGGAACAGAAGGTTCCAGCCTATACTCAAATACATCAAATTGAGAGTCTGATAATCAAATGTTTTAATATAATAATTTGGCTTTTAAATTCAGCCCAGAATTCTAATACTTTAATCCTTTGCATTTTAATGCTAAGGATGAAAGACTTAAATATGTGGCTACTGTAAATTAATCATCTTTAAGTGACTAAGTACATACTTAGACACACTGTCTAAGAGATCTGTAACATCTATAATAATTTTTGTATATTCTTTTTGTTCTTCTCATTAGCTGAGCTGATGCCTCAACTATGGACATTTTATTAAGTGATATTCAGGTAAACTAGATTCCTATGATAAAAGTGGGTCATAAAGCAGGATTAAGAAAGACTTATGTTGCCATAAAATTTTATTTACTTTTTAAATAGTCTTTTTTTTTTTTTTTAATTAAGTAAGCTCTACACCCAATGTGGGGCTTGAACTCATGACCCCGAGATCAAGAGTTGCATGCTCTTCCAACTGAGCCAGCCAGGTGCCCCCATTGCCATAAAATTTTAGAATTGATACAAGAGTCAACAATTTTAACTTTTTCACTGTTTCACATAACTTCCTATGAATAATGGTCAAAAATAAGTTTAGAAAAGCAGTAACATAAAAGAAGGCTTTTCTATTTCACTGGCTTCTCTGTGAAGACATTACCAACATATCCTTTTACCCCCAAAGGAAAAAAAAACCCCACAGAAATTATGGGAATGAACTAACTGCATTTAAACAAATAAGTCAGTAAAAAATATCTCATATGTGATTCACTGATATAAAGCATTTAAAATAATTTCCCAATAGAAGTCACCATCCCTTAACTTCCACCAAAGTGTATTGTATCTTTTAGTGGAAAATATTTGTGGAAATAAAATTACAAAACCCAAATGAACCTGAGAGCTCTGTCCACAGGGATGACTCACTTATAAGGCTGTCTTCTACCCAGCCTGGAGTCTGTGCCAGAAAGCCCCATTGCTACACTAAAAAGTACAGTTTAAGTGGGGTTAATTCTCTGAATTAAGGCAAATAAATGAAGATAAAAAAAGTACTAGTGAAGAGTATATGCTGGATTTCTGAAATTATCTCAGTATTGGTTAAAATATACTTAGAAACAGATGGGTGAAATACTTAGAAAATAAGTTAATTGCAGAGTCAGAAGGAAAAAAGGTTAGACATTTTGGTGGTGTGAACCTCTGATGTTATTTGGCTATAACGTACCTGGTACATTTATAATAGCATCTATTGTAAATAACCTCACATGTGGAACGTAGGTAGGTAACAGAACAGTGTGTTAAGAAATGAAATCCCCGTTTCCAGTATGTTCTACTTAAATTGTAAATTTTCTGTACTGGTATTGAGGTTTCTTCACAATTTTTTAATCAGCTTCTAATTTCAGATATGGTCATGAAATATTCACTGGATTAGAACTTTCACTGTCTTTTTTTTTTTTTTTTATCTTCGAAATAACTATACTGCTACATACTAGGTTCCTGTATTGGAGCAAGCAATTTCTGATAGAGGCCAGGTTTTCCTCCTTCTCCAACAAAAAGCCAATCTTATTCCTATCCTTATGGTGTCTTAATTTAATACTTCATTGCAGGACAAAGAAGAAATAACCGTCTTTAAAGAAACTGTGACAACTTTTGAGTAGTGAAAGAATCATGTCACCTTCCCTAGCTCTAAACAAATTACATGACTTGCCAACTTTCCAAACAAAACAAAACAAAACCAAAAGAACCAGGGAAAAAATGATTTAAAATGCTCTTCAGTTCTTAGAATATTTTAATTGTTAAACTTTAAATCTGAAGTACAAAAAATTACTTACTTCTAAGCTGCCTCTCTTTATTGGATTCAGCACCAATAATTTCTTCAGAAGATTTTCACAGTCAGTGGACATATAGAAGGGGATACGGTACTTCCCTCGTAAGACTCGCTCCCGTAGTTCCTTAAAAAGGCAAAGGAAGCACTCATAACTTGTTACTGAAATTATCACGCTTGGCTATAAAACACCAGCACCGAACCTCCCAGATACCTTCAAATTCTGGCCATCAAAAGGCAAGGAGCCACTGACTAGTGTATAGAGAATGACACCGAGACTCCACACATCCACCTCAGGCCCGTCATACTTCTTTCCTTGGAAAAGCTCAGGGGCAGCATAGGGTGGGCTTCCACAAAATGTGTCCAATTTGTTCCCGACTGTAAATTCATTACTAAAACCAAAGTCAGCAATTTTAATATTCATATCAGCATCAAGGAGAAGGTTTTCAGCCTAAGAGGAAAATAATAGAGAGGATAATGTAAATGCCTACATAAAACAAAATATTTATTACAACAATTTCAGATCTCAACATATAGTTCTTGCTTCTCTCTCTCTCTCTCTTTTTTTTTTTTTTTAAGAGAGAGAGCAAGCACGCGTGTGCAGCCCGGGGGGAGGGGGGAGAGGGAGCAGGTGCTGCGCCCAGCACGGAACCCCACGCAGGGCTCGATCCCATGACCCTGAGATCATGACCTGAGCCCAAATCAACAGTCAGACGCCTAACCAACTGAGCCACCCAGGTACCCCTCTTGCTTCTCATTTTTAAGCATAATATCAAATTTAGAAGCCCAGCATGGTGCTTCAATGCCTAACTGTTCAGAATCACATTTATATAAGACTAAATTTTAACACTATAAAAGGGTAGCTCTCATTTATAGGTGTATCTGCAACTATTTGAGAAAAGTTACTTAAAACACTTTTTCTTCCACACATTATTTTAAGCCCATTTTTTTTCTTCATGGTAAGAAACATCTTGGGACTGTACCTTAATATGACCTATTTTAAAAAACGTAAGTTGACATAACACTAACCCTTCTTGGGCTTAAACCAACAAAGTTTACTCAAAAGTGCTCTATTTTAATAGAGCATTGTTGGTTAATGCAAAGCTCGAGAGTATACTTAAAATAACTGCCAGCCAGGGGTTCTGTGACTACTGAATTCAATCCTTTGTCTTCTCTTATAGAATGCTTCCTCAGCAAAGTTCTGTTTTTTTAGTAAAACAAAACAATACAATACAACCTCCACTAGACCTTGTTTAAGTTTCCTTTTGTTGTCCTAAAACTAAATTCTCTTCTGGAGGTATATTTTGGTAGAAAGCAGTGATTTCCATCCAATATATTTTCAGATGCTGGTTTTCCAAAATCCTAAATCAGAATCATTAAAAAAAAAAAAGTTTTAAATTTGCCTTTTGTAAATACAAGCAATTCAATAAAGGCTTTGCTTTTTTTGTTTTGTTTCAAACTCTTTTATAACTGATGGACTAAGGAAATTATATATTATTTTGTAGATGTGTCTTATGGGGTTACAGAAAGGAGTAAAATTTGGCTACAATGAAAACCAGAGTTCTCTATATGGCTGGAGAGCCAGGCACTCTGCCCACCATACAGCTCCTTCCCTCCCTCATCCTCCTTTTCCTTTTTTAAGGTATGCTAGTTTGGGATATCTGTTTTGAAAAAATGGATATGTGTCATGTATGACATTAATATTGTAACAGCACATAAATTTGGAAGATTTATCTTAAATCCTAACATTAATGGGCTGGGTGACAAAACCAGGTTATTTTGATGTTCTGATATAAGGACCTGGTCGTTGTAAATTTCTGAGGCCATGTGCAAGCAAGCTGGACTTTCCTAGTTTCTGTGAAGAGGTCTGGATGGCTGCCTCACAAGCTCAAGGGACTCTGAGGTCTGTTCCAGGAGCACATGGGAAACCCCATCCCCCAGACTGGAGGGTGCTGACCATGATCTTTTTTATTTTTTTGGATTTCTGCTCATGTAAGAAATGAGATGATAGGCTGGGTGTCAAACACACAGCCAGGGGAACAGTCCTCTACTTTCTCTTTCTCTGTGGAAGTGATTTCTCCTTAAAATAGTTATTGGAGGAAACTAAGAAATAAAAAATTTTGGACCAGTAGAAAATCTGCAAGCTCAGAAAAACAGAGCCAAAATACAGGATTTAGACTTCTGACAACTGCTTAAGACAATTTTTTTTTAAAAGTAAGCTCCATGCCCAGTGTGGAGCCCAACGGGGCTTGAACTCACGACCCTGAGATCAAGACCTGAGCTGAGATCAAGAGTCAGACGCTTAGCTGACTGAGCCACCCAAGTGCCCCTTAAGACAGTATTTTTAAGTATAATACAAACCAGTGCTAGTAACTTTTCTCCCCATGACAGAGGTCATGGGGAGAAAAGTAAAAAAAAAAAAAAAAAAGATTCCTATGTAAGGAACGACGAAAGTTAACTTTGGAGGAGGAGAGAAAAAGGAAAAAAAGACAAATATTTTAGTTCCAGGATTTTCTACTTTCATAAATGAGAAAAAAAAAAAGCATACCTATTTGGCCATACTATTTCTTTCTTTTTAAAATTTATTTATTTATTGAGAGAGAGAGTGTGCAAGCAGGGGGAGGGGAGAGGGAGAGGAAGAGAGAATCTAGGCAGACTCCCCGCTGAGCAGGAAGCCCCACGTGGGGCTGGATCTCACAACCTGAGATCATGACCTGAGCCAAAATCAAGAGTCGGACACTCAACCAACTGAGCCACCCAGGAGCTCCTATTTAATATTTTTAAATAAAAATGGTATATATACTTAAGGTGTACAACACAATGATTTTATATGCACAGTGAAATGAATACAACAGCCAAGCTAATTAACATATCACCTCCTCACTTAGTTATAACTTTTATGTGTGTGGTAAGAGCACACTCATATAAATAAATCTACTCTCCTAAGCAAATTTCCCAGTATTCAGTGCAGTATTATTAACTTTTTGAATATGACACTAAAAGCTCAGGCAGCCAAAGCAAAAATAAATGAAACTTCATTTAATACCAAAAAGCTTCTGCATAGCAAAGGAAAGCATCAACAAGAAGGTAACCTGTGGACTGGGAGAAAATATTTGCAAACTCTACATCTAATAAAGAATTAATATCCAAAATATATAAGGAACTCATACAACTCAGTAGCAAAAAACGCCCCCAAACACCACAATTAAAAAATGAGCAAAAATCCCTAAACAGACATTTTTCCAAAGATGACATACACATGGTCAACAGGTATATGAAAAGGTGCTCAACATCACTGACCATCAGGGAAGTGTAGATCACAACCACAGTGAGCTAACACCTTCCACCTATCAGGATGGCTACCATCAAAACTATAAAAGGTAACAAGTCAGCAAAACAAATGGGAACCTGAGTACAGCTGGTAGGAATAGAAACTGGTAGAGCCATTATGGGAAACAGGACGGAGGTTCCTCGAAAAACTAAAAGGAGAACTGCTACACGATCGATCCAGCAATCCTTCTTCTGGGTATACACCCAGAGGAAATGGAAGAGTGCCTTGAAGAGATACCTGTGCTCCCATGTTCACTGCCACAAACCGTTCCTGACTGTCTCAATTTCTTATTCCAAAGTATGCTAGTTTATACTCATCACATGCATTTGATGTTCACAAAAACATGTTAAGACACTTCCCCTGTTTCTGTGAGCTTTAGTGCAGAGAATGCATGCAGGCACCCGCAGCAGACAGACCTGGCCCTGTGCCATACCTTGCTTCCAACTGAATGGGATCTCGGGCATTTATAGTAGGGGACAAAGTTCCACATTTATCTATTAAAACAAGCTTATTAATGGTGAATCAAATCCTCTAGCCTTTAAAGCTAGATAACTTCTCATTCCTATTTTCTTCTTTTTCTCAGTGAAAATATTGCTTTTCATGATGTTGCCATGAGGATTAAGTAAAAACTCCTTCCTTGGAGAGCCGGGCACAATTCAGCAACCACAGAGATGGCCTCAATACTATAAAACATCTGTTCATGATTAAGACTTTTTGTTATAAAATCAGTGGCTTACCTTAAGATCACGGTGAACAATGCACTTTTGATGGCAATACTGTACAGCAGATACAATCTAAAATAAATATTTGGATAAAAGATGCATAATTATTTTATGGTAAAAACACTGCAATTTCCCCCCAATGACAACCTCCAATTGAGATAAATTACCAACGTAGATTTCACAGCAGTATTTAATAATTTTCCTGTTCCTTCAGTTCTGAATAAAGTTAAAATGAGGAAAAGTTCACTTTTAAATGTGGACAGTGTAGACAAGAAGCATTCTCTCGTTAAAATAGTTCCTTGTCAGAGTCCATGAAAATTTCTGTGGGCAGTTACATTTCTCTATTGACGTGATCAAGTGTGTAGAGTTTGCAGTTCTGATCGAATGGCTTATTCCAATGTTGGGATAAGAGCTTTGGAACACATGAACCAGTCTATTTTAGGAATTATTATCAAATGTGTTCAAGGCATGTTTTTTAAGCAAGGCCAATTCACTAAGAACTTAACAATGGGGTATTTGGCATTGTCCTGTCTTTGTTCATATATAAAGAAATGGGAAAACTGTTCAGCCTTAAGATGAAACCCAATTATCAAAAAAAAAAAGAGGGAAAAATGAAGTTTAATCCTAAACTTGTTATTAAGTCAGTCGGGCAAAGTATTCTACCCCTAACTAGATTTTGTATGCAATCGTAATTGTAAACCATTACATAGGCTCTTCGAGGACAAAGACTGAACAAGGTGGAACCCAACGGTAAGAGCCAAGATACAGGTGAGAAATAAGTTATAAACATTTCTTTGATGGTTGTTTACTACATAAAATAGAAAAATGGAAAGAATCAGATAGCAGTCAAGGTAAGAACTATTTTGTACATGTAGTTATAGCTGATTTACAGGAGGACGGCCATTTTAATGCACAGCAGAACATTCAATCCTATGGATTCAGTTAAATGGAAACAATATGAATGCTGAAAATTGGTTAGGCATTTACAAATGGAGATAGAAATGAGATTTTTAAAAGCCTAAGGATGATGTTAAGTATGGCCATGCTAATAGAAATATGGGTTAAAAAAAAAACCTTCAAAGTAGAAGTGAGATTGATAGCTCAGGACGTTATTCTAACGTATATTAAAATGGTTCAGACAGAAACATGAATTCAAAACAAAATCAACACACAATGAGTAATATGTAATTCAATTAAGTTCATTTTGATTCAAAAGTCAGTTTATTGAGTACCTGCTATGTGCAAGAAAATGTGCTGGTTGCTAGGGAACACAAAATGAACACTACACGGACCCTGCCCTTAGGAGCTGGAAGTCTGATTAGGAGAAAACATGTATAGAACATGTATATGAGCAACCATAGTACAAGGCAGAATCATAGAAGCAGAGGTACAAAGAAGTGAGGGGAATCATATCAAATAAAGAATAATTCCAGTTAGAAATGCTGTCTGGAGTACAGGATATTTGATCTAAGCCATCCCAAATGACAGTAACACTTCAAGATGTGGCGATCTGGTGATAGGGAGGGAGGGGTAAGGTGGTGAAAGGCACTGAGGTTGAGGCAACACAATGTATTTGACAAGTAGGTGGGAAAATGCTAATAGTGGGAATAAACGTTGATAGGTTGGTAAGGCTCTGAATTCCAAACTAAGCAGGTACTACAGAACCACTAAGTGTTTTTAAGCAGAGCAACTGTGGATGATTATGATCAATTTGAAGTGCAAATCCCCCCAAACAGCGGAATCTTATAACGAATATTTGTATTAGTCTTCTTAAGCAATATGCTTTAAAATTCTAATATCCCATTTCCATTAAAACACATTTATTTGCCAAGAGATATACACACTTACATGTAAATATTAATACATCTTAATGAATATCCTACAAGGCTATTTTTAGTAATAGTGGTTTTAAAGTCACTTTGTAACAGTGAAGAAGGCATGTTATAGATAAATGATTTGGTTACCAAACATGCATTTTAACATTAGACAGAATGGTCTCCATGAAAGCAGTTCTACAGGTGTTTCTGGAATAAAAGTCTCCTGAGCCTTAAAACCTTAAGAATGGAAAGATAATTAAGAGAATGTTGTATATTAAGCATTTCATTCTCCCCAAACTCTATGACCTCTGACTTCTGTCAGTTAACGTGGTGGCTTATAATATTACTAAACTTATCCAGCAGGGTACAATTTCTGCCTTCTATTTGATTCCCTGCAAGAAACCCCATGCACAAGCCTAAATTTTACTGCATTATTCTATGGCCAGATCCTCCCATCACAAAACATTCTGTACCTCATTAAGTAGGATGTAGGAACTTCCTTATGAGTGTTCTTTTATGGATCTTGAAAACATGATTTACAATCAACCCTGCACTGACCCTAAATTCAGAGCTGTGTTTTGCCATGAGGCGCAAATGTTGGGTTGCTTTGCAATTAATTTATAATTGAGTCAGGAATTCCAAGTTTTAGGTAGTAGCCTTGATACTGGAAGAGTTGAATCAATACTGTAATTTTCTTTCAGGTCCTCAAAACTTCAGGAATGCAGAGACACTGCATGGTCCATGGCTACTGAAGTGCTCTGGAATTGTCTCTGGCTGTCTCCAATAGTAAAGTAAAGGACATATGTGTGTATATACTTGCTAACACAGTACATTCCTAAGCCGTTAAAATTAAAAAAAAAAATAACTTCGTGATACAGAGCAAAAAATAAAAGTGTACATTTATCATCTTAATTAAATTTATAAAGAAAAATAGGCACCTCAAAAGCAAATTTAAAAACGAACAGAACCCTTTGTCAAATGACTCCTAAATTGTGTATGCCTGTATCCCTGGTTTTTAAAAAGATGAGTTAGTTACCTTTTTAATTCTGAAGGAAGACATACAGATAGTAAATAACCTTAATATTTATTTATTTATAAATAGCATTTGACACTCGACCTCTGCAACATGAAGAGTATTTCAAAAAATAATTCAGACTTTATTTTTAAAAAGAGCCAATTCGTAATTATTTGGGTCTTTATGAAAATATCTGTGTTCCAGCCATCGGGAAAGATGGGCAAGTTCTTTGTAATAGCAGGCACTGTCTCTTCTCCAATTCCACAGAGTACCCAACACAGTTATTTCCACACAGTATGATTTCAGTAAATAAATACAGCCAGGTGACTAAAAAGAACTACAGTAGTAGCAGTCTATACAACACATATTAAGATCCCAGTGGAAATACTTAACGTCAAGTGTAATTTTCGTAGTCGGCTACTAACTGTGACTGCTTGACTGATACTGAGGGAACAATGGCATTGAAGGGGATGACCAGGGCCTTGCTCAAGGTGAGCCTCCATCCCGGGACCAGAGAGGACTGAGCAGTAAGTGGCTGAACCCCACTCAGGTCTTCAAGGTCCTGTCCTCATTACCGGTTGTCTTCAGATTTCAGATATTTTAGGATGAATATTTCTAGGAAGCTATCCTAAATCAAAGGGCTATGCCTATCTTTGGTATAAAGCATTTCACAAATTATGTTCCAAAAAGTAATATCAACAACAGAGTTTTATCAAACAAATTCACTTCGTGATCAATTTGGAGAATACTATGTTAAAATAAGGTGAAACAGATTTTTTTCCCCCTCTCCTCCAGAACTTTCAACTTTTTCTAATTGTTTACATGTTAATATATATGTAACCCTATATCCATATTCAGTGTTTCCCAAACTTATTGATCACAAGACCCCTTTAACTAGAGAATCAGTACCCATTCTTACAGAAGTACTGAGCTATTTTTAAATGAAATATTTTAAATTCACTAAGGTAAACTTCGGGCTATAGCAAGTTGCCTGCTGAAATTTCACTTCATTAAATTTTATGAACAATTTACAATTCCATATTTGTCATTTCTATAGTAATTTGTAAAGTATGTTTTTAATCACTTCATTCCTAAAAATTAGGAGTAAAATCCTAGAGGAACTTAATTACTTTTTCTTATTTTATAGTTTCTAGAACAAGTCATGTTCAATTTGAACCGGAAATATACACATCTTACCATATTCTTCTACCACATTTGTAAGGTTTCTTGCCTACTTGACTAAATAAAACTGACCACAATCTTTACATCTACAAAGATATGAATTCTAATACCAAGACATCTTTAATGACAAAAGAAAACACAATGTCTTTAAGCACTACACATATATACTGAATACATAAAGCTAATAATTGTTGATAATAATTATTGGGTAAAGGATTAAGTATTTCTTTTCTTTCTTAATCTAGTCTGTATTTCCAAAACTATCAATGAATTAATGAGACTCACCTAAAAACATTTCACTATTTATGATCATCTAAAAATAACCACATGCAACTATCTTAAATTTAAATTCAGGAAGAACAAATTTCTTTTTCAGTTTCCCATTCTTAAAACATATAAGAAAGCAGGAATTTTTCTTTTTAAAATACCATGTACTCTGAAGTCCAGTTTGTGATACTGTCCATTGTATATCACTAAAAACATTAGCAAAACAAAGTTAAAAAACTACTTTCCATACCTGCCTAAATTTTGCACGGGCCTCTTTTTCTTTCATTCTTCCATGGGCAACTAAGTAATCAAATACTTCACCTGAATCAGAAAGGTAAAGCAGGCAGTAAAATATACATAGATTTTTCAGTTAACAATATAAGCAATGTCAAGTTTTTGCCTTGTTTTTAGAGAAGCTTTTGGCCCACAATTTTCTGGTAGTTTTACGTAAATCACAAACTATTACATGAAGAGAAAAAAGGGAAAAACTACACATAGAATTGAGTATCTGTAGCAGCTTATGATTTAGCAAAACTCTTTTAAAAAATAAATCATAAAAACATAACCAAGAAAATTTGCTTTCTGATTTCAAGTATTACACAATAATACAGTCAACTCTTTATTATCCATTCTAATAAAGGGAAGCCACTGTGCGAGCAATCAAAAATTACATTTGGCTTTGTATTTGGAAACTACATGTCAGACAAAGTAACAAAAGTCGTATTACGTTGGATCTCTCTCTCTTAAATTCTACTGTCATGGAGTCTTGATCAAATTTTTTCTCACTACTTCCATTCACATTGATTTCAGCCACTTCCTTCCTATACTCTAACTATGCTATTCTCACTATACTCATTTCATCTATTTTGGTACTTAAGTACTTATACAGAATTAACTCATCCTGTGTGCATCTCCCATTACTACAAATGAGCTTCAATTATCATATCTGCCCTATCCCCATGACAGAACACAAAGTGGATAGACAATACATACTTGCTGAAATAATTTAAACTAGAAACTATAGAAAGTTCTTATTAGATCCATTACTTTACATGTCTGGAAATTTTTTCATTTTTCGCTGGTCAATACTAGTAAAAAAAAACAATATTTAGTTACAATATTAAAAATAAAATATCTCAGTGTAAGGGAGAAATTTATTTTTTACATCCTTATATTTACACCATATAGATATACATGTATATTAAAAACTCACGAAATGGCTTAAAGAGTTCTTGTAAATACAGCAAAGTGGTTAAAAACTCAGGCTTTAGAATCAGGCCGATTTTGATATGAATCCTGGTTTAGCCCCAAGTAGCTACTGGGAGACATTACGAAGATTTCTTAACTTTATTAAGACCCAGTTTCTATCCAGTGCCTATCTCACATGGCTGTTGTAAGGATTAAATGAAGTAATGCATGTGCTTAAGCACAGTGACTGGCATATAGTAAGCACTCAATAAATTATATATTTGTATCTAAGTATACAAAAAATTATATATATATATATTCAATATCAATCCTATAAATATATAAGTAAAACACTAAAAACCAAATATGTAATGATGTACGTCAGATGAAATTAATACATCTACAATGTCAGACAACATATGATATCAAGATACTTAAATGACTGAATGGGATGATGAAAACAGAAATGAATGGATGCTCTAGTCGACCCATCACAGTAGTTAATTCCAGATATGTGAGTTTAGGCTGGGAAAGATATATGCAAGAGTTAAAAAATATGGGCTGCTCTTAAGTTCTGCCTAGAATGTCCACACCCCAGATGTTTACAAGACTTAGTCGTTCACTTACTATATATTATTTGTTTATGATTTGCTTCCCCAAAAGAATGTAATCTTCTTGAGGGCAAGGACTTTGTCTTTGCTCACCCATGTGTTCCCAGCACCCAGAAAAACATCTGGTACATAGAAACATTTAATAAATATTGTTGGCATGAATGAAAGAAGAAATCAACACACCATTCCAGAGCAGCCCCAACACCTACTTTTAATAGACTCTTTTGGATTAAATGTGGTTCAAAATCATAAAGGAGTTCCCTGCCTACGTAATCACCAAAGATCTTTTGCCCCGTAGTGAACCAGAATAAAATGATCTAAATACTCCTGACAAAGAGGCAGCTGTTTGACTCAACTCTTTGTCCATGTCAGAGTCAATCCTAAAATGTCTAGAAATTTCAGAGGAAAAATATTAAGTGTTGATTATAAAAGTTACTTTGCTATTTACAGATTAAAAAGGCAAGGAAATGATTCTAGATTTGCCACCACAGAACCATGATGGTTTTGTTAAAGGATCACTGATGGGCAAGACTCAAAGAAAACTTACCACTAGGTGTTAGAATCAAATGAGAGAGCACCTGGTTTGGGCTGAATTCCAGTATACACCCCTGTAGACTGCACCCAGTACCCCTCCTAACTATGCTACTGAAGGAGAGCAGTGATGACCCCATGTGCTCTCTGTTTCTCCAGCCATTGCTCCCCTTCATTAGCACCAATAGAGAGTTGACTGTACTTACCATTTATCACTAAACAGCATACATATTAACAGAGCCTTGTGATGGACCTTCATAAAAACAGAAGTGTCCACCAATTTTTAGAAGTCTGTAATTTCTCATATCAAAGCATGTCTAGCCCTTTTCTCCAGACTTTAGATCAGTAAAAGGGAAAAAAAGAGTCTAACTGAACTAAAAATAACTCCCAGGGTTCCCACGCTGACAAACTATTATATAAATCTAACTAAAGGATAGAAAAATAGAGAAATAGTTCATTATGTGGTAACTGTAGGCTCACTAATTTTATTATAGACCTATGTTTTATGCAAATTCACATGGCTGTGTTAATACTTTTTAAAAACCCTGTAATAATAAACCTTGATGACATAGGTTTTCAGGTTAAGTCAAAAAACCTCCATCAAAATACTTTCAGGATGAGAAAAGGCTTTGCAAAAAACCAAACCTACTAAAACTTTCAATCTGCATTAAAAACAGAAAAAGCTATTAAAATATATGTGATATTTGTAGTAAACATTTTTAGAAACCTAAGAAATAGTATAAAAATACATAGTTTAGGTACAATAGACTAAAATAAATCCTTTTTATCGAAGTTACATAAAATCTGAATTACCATAAAAATCTATACACTTTTATTAGCTGAAAGGAATCAACACTAAATTCAACCCTAAGGTTTTCTATTGATTAGCAAAAAAGTTAATTAGCCAAAGTGGTTTAAATAATTGCAGCTGCCCTCCCTCCTTTTTAATTGCTTAACTTCTTAATTCTTCAATTGCTTAAAACCTTCAAGCATTCTTTTTTTACTTATTCAATGATTTATCTCCAAAAAATTTTAATTGTGTTTCTAAGAAAGCCCTATGCCTAACACAATAGTGATTTTGAGCTGATGTACCTCTCGTTTGACGGAAAGTGCAGAAGATGAAAATGATTTTCTATTATATACCAGTGTTTAAAAATCACTCCTACTCTTGACACTATGCAGTCAAAAGTATGTATTATATTCTACAAATACATCTTATTTCTCTGTCAACTCAGTCTTCTAACTTATAACATGTATAAATCAATAGTTGTTTAAATTGAAACATTTTATGGATTATCCTGAAAATGCATGCATATCGGGAATCTGTCATATATAAACAGTCACTGAAATAAACATCTGGTCTAGAATATGCTTTTACTATAACCTTTATTAAATACATTGGGAATTTGAGAATTTCCTTATAGCCAAGCAATTCTAATCACAATAATATAATACTTAGATAAGAGAATCAAAACATTCATAGATAACAATGCAAATTTAGAGTTTAGAAAAATGTCCCTAGGCAACTTTTAACTTAGCCAAAAATCTGACTTTTAAATGTAGGATCAATAGGTCCTGAAAGTAAACACTGATTTTTACTTAAGATATATCACTTAATCACAGTGAAGACATAAGTGTTACAGTGAAACTTCGGGTGTTGATAATTCTGTATGTCTCATCAAAGATAACTTTTCCATCCCTCTCATCCTTACCCCCACTCGCGTACTCCATGACTAAATAGAGGGTCTTCTCTGTTTCAATAACTTCAAACAATTTTACTGAAAAAAGAAATCACAGATATAATTCTGTAATTGTTAGCATATACTGGAGCTGCTTTAAGAAAATTTAAGTATAAATTTTCCCTAAGCCAGGGGAAAATTTGAGTATTTACTGAAAATTATTAATTATAATTTTAAACTGAAAAATTCTCTCAAGGGTTATGACTACTATGGAAGAAAACTACTTACCACAAAGTGATTTGTAACCAACTGCTGGGTCAAAAGAGTTAAGTTTCTGGGATTAAAAAAACCATTACTTTTTCTAATGAGAATAATATAATAAAAAGGAAAAGCTTAAAATAACAAAACAAGCTCAGCATAACAAAATTTTAAGTAAAGCTTAAAAGGAGACTGTATTATATAATGAGCCTGTCATAAAATGTTAAACAATCTTTGGTAGAGAAACAAAAAAATTCCATAATATGTGGTGTTATAAAGTTTCTGGTTAAAAAACCACCAAGTTATCAGACGTACATAGTTGAAATTATACATCACAAATAATCACATTAACATCTCTAGTAAGCATAAGATTTTTAAGTGTGAAAGAAACAAGTGTTAAGAAAATGAGATTAAAAGAAAAATTACTTTTTACTTCTTATAATCCAATGACTACATATGTAGTCAATATATTTATTTGTAAACGTAGGGAAAAACCAGAACTTCTGGGAATAAATTAACTAAAAGTGAAATAAATTCTATTTTCTTAAAAATTCAAATTAGTGATTTTGCCTATAAACTATGGTCAAATCCAAATGCATATTATCAAATTATCTGGAATTCATTTCTTATAAATATCTCAAACGGCATGCAATCTCTAGAACAATTTAGTAAGGAGATACAAAAAATATTTGTATGCGTTAACTCCAAGTCATATATATTATTTTAGTAGAGAGCATAAAACAGCAAAGTAGTAGATAGCCATCCGTAGCCTTCAGTTAACTTCTTTATAATCTATTTTTACTAAAAGTATCACTTTCTCAGGTTATCACTCTTTTTATAAAGAACATCCTTAAAATTCTATCTTTTCAGATAGCTTCAAATTAAAGAATATACTTCATCATTAATTGTATATGTAAATTTCATACCTATATTAGGATGATTCAATATCTTCATTATTCGTACTTCTCGAAACAACTGTTAAAGAAAACAGGGTAGACATATTTCTGTTAAAATCATTCACTTGAAGAAATATATCTTCTTACAAGACACTAGGAGATCCTGGTAATGAGCTAAGAAAGAAACAAGAGATTTGTTCCTCAGGTTCAACTCTGACTTTGCTGACACTTGATTTCCAGGACAATTTTAACAAGATGAATTCAGATGGTTGTGTGTGTGTGTGTGTGTGTGTGTACACCATATACAATAAAACTTAAATTTTTATTTGACTACTCTTCATTACTGGGAATAAAATAAAAATACTGTGGAAATGAAACTAAATGATCCTTCACATGATTTTTATCCCAAACCAACATTCTTTGGGGGCTGGGAGGGGGGTCCTGATTCTTTAATCATCTCTACTGGTTGAACACTTTATGAAAGATTAAATGATGTAAACCTACATTAAATAAAATTTGAAAAGGAAACAAAACTATTTTCAGTAGCATTTTTAGGGAAACTTGCATAATAGTAGTAAAGGACAATAAAAATATATTTACCACCTTATATAAAACCAAAACAGACTGAAAATAAGTCACTTTTTGAAACACGAATGTGAAAAATTCCTTTCCTTTTATTTTACGGTATCGGGCCCATTTTTTACAAGTCTGACCTGGCATTTTTTTTTCTCTATGTTGTCTCTGAGTACATGTTAAGTTCACAATCAAGCACCTAGTTCACTCTTGCTGGGTGATTCATCATGGCTTCGAATGTCAATTTGCTGATGCCTCCTAAATTTAGATCTCTCATCCAGAGCATTCTTCTTATCCTAACCTTTATATCCAAGTATCTACCCAATATTTTCACAAGAATTCAAACCCAAGACTTGACTTCTCATACCAAATTTGATCTTTGCCTGACTTTCCCCAGCTCCCTATATCCATCCAGCAGCTATTACAGAAACTTTGGAGTCATCCTTAACTACATGCCTTTGCCAAATCTCCACATCAGATCCATCACCAAGACCTACTGACTCGACCTCCAAAATTCATCTCACATCTGTCAATTCTATCCATCCCCACTGGCAACACTGGATTCCACAGATCTTTGTATATCCATTCAGCATTCCCTTTTCTGTACTCCCATCCTCCAGTCCATTATCCACACAGCACTACACTATTTCAGATCCACTGGTGGTTTCCCAGTGCCATTAGCACAAAATCCATAATCTTCAACATGGGCTACCAGGCCTTGAAAATCAAGATCTTGCTTACCTTGCCAAGCTTATCTCATGACACTCTAGATAACATCTAGATGGATGTCTCCTGGATGGACTTCACTCAAGCCAACCAGCATCCTTCTCAGTTGAACTTGCTAAGATTCCTCTCTAGTCAGGGCCTTTGCACAAGCTTTCCCCCTCTGCCTGGAATGAATGTTCTTCATTCACTTTTTGAATTATGAAATATTTCAAATTTGTTAAAAAGTACAGAAATAAATATAGCACCTACCTCTGTATCTACCATCAAGATTAAATAAACAACTTATGCTAATATTCTGCCATATTTTCATAAGATTTTATTATATTTAAGAAAAATATTTTTTAAAATTTAAAATTTTTTACATTTAAAGATTTTATTTATTACATATATATAGAGAGAGTGCGCACAAACAGGGGGAGGAATAGAGGGAGGAGGGGGAAAGAATCTCAGGCAGACTCCACACTGAGCACAGGGCCTGATGCAGCGCAGTCTCACAACCCTGAGATCATGACCTAAGCCAGTATCAAGAGTCGGATGACCAACCGACTGAGCCGCCCAGGCGCCCCATGAATATTTAATTAATAATTTTATTTAAGGGGCACCTGGGTGGCTCAGTCGTTAAGCGCCTGCCTTCAGCTCAGGTCATGATCCCAGGGTCCTGGGACTGAGTCCCGCATTGGGCTCCATGCTCGGCGGGAAGCCTGCTTCTCCCTCTCCCACTCCCCCTGATTGTGTTCCCTCTCTCACTGCGTCTCTCTCTGTCAAATAAATAAATAAAATCTTAAAAAAATATATTTTTATTTAATAAAACATCGTTAAGACATTGATCATTATAGTCATAGCTAGAGACTCATCCCCACCTCTTTTTCCTCCTTCCCACCCTAGATATAACCAATGCCCTAAAGCTGGTATGTAACAAGCTACATACTTTTATAATTTTCTATACATGTATATATAAATAGCAATATTACTTTTTTGTGTTTCAAACTTTATATAAATGGAGTCATACTGAAATTATTTCTCTAAACTTATTTTTTCTTCAACATAATGTTTCTTTGTTCTATCCCTGTTGTATATAGATCTGGTCCATTTACTTTAATTGCTCCGTTCCATTACGAGAGGAAACCAGTTTATACAGTTCTATTGAGAATGCTTAACTTATTTATATACTTTCACTATTGCAATCAGTGTTATAATGAATATTCTTGACGTGTTTCCTTAAATACCTAGAGGCTTAATTTTTTGATAGTGGTGTATACACACCTTCAACTTTCTTAGGTCTTGCTGAATTTGCCCTCCACCCCTGTTCTGTACTTGAAGGCCTAGAACTCAAGAAATATTGAGTGCCTATGCTGCTTGGTCTTTTCCATCTTTGGGACCCACAGCCCTAATGGCTCCTCTGAGCTATAAGTCTCTGTTACTGATGGTTTTGCTGACTGCTTCTGACAAAGGGAAACAATCTCTACTCAGAGGGGAGCCCCATAGGGTTTTGGATTCATTCCCTCCCTAAAACGGCTAACGGATTTTAAAAAGCAGCTATTAGTTTGCCACCAGGCTCTTGTCAAGACTGAATACCTGTCTCAGAGAGGTGTCCATTGACCAAACTGCCTCACTCAGGTACACGGACCAGGAGGAGGTGAGGAATATAGCATCAGGAGTGTGTGTATGTGTGTGTGTGTGTATGTGTACATGTATATCTATATTATACCTAAAATATAGGTATTTATTTTTAGGGCAGTTTTAGTTTCACAACAAAATTGAGCAGAAAGTATAGAGTTAGCATGCACCTCCTGTCCCCATACATGCACAACCTCCCCAACCATCAACATCCCACACCACAGTGGTACATTTGTTACAACTGATGAATCTATATTGATACATTATCACCCAAAGTCTATAGTTTACATTAGGGTTCATTCTTGGTGCTGTAAATTCTGTGGGTTTTGACAAATGTATAATGGCAAATATCTACCATTACAGTATCACACAGAATAGTTTCACTGCCCTAAATATCCCCTGTGCTTCACCTATTTATCCTTCCCTCTCTATAAATCCCTGGCAACCACTTATCTTTTTACTTTCTCCATACTTTTGCTTCTTGAGAAGATCATATGGTTGGAATCATATAGTATGTGGCCTTTCCAGACTGACTTCTTTCACTTAGTAATATACGTTTAAGGTTCTTCCATGTCTTTTCTTTTTTTTTTTTTTTTTAAAGATTTTTATTTATTTATTTGAGACAGAGAGAATGAGAGAGACAGAGAGCACATGAGAGGGGAGGGTCAGAGGGAGAAGCAGGCTCCCTGCCAAGCAGGGAGCCCGATGCGGGACTCGATCCCGGGACTGCAGGATCATGACCTGAGCCGAAGGCAGTCGCTTAACCAACTGAGCCACCCAGGCGCCCCTCTTCCATGTCTTTTCATTACTTTATGATAGATTATTTCTTTTTAGCACCGAATAACATTTCATTATATCAATGTAGCAGTTTATTTATCCATTAACCTATTGAAGAACATCTTTATTACTTCCAAGTTTTGACAACTGTGAATAAAGCTGCTATAAACTGTGTGTAGGTTTTTGTGTGGACATAAGTTTTCAACTCATTTGGGTAAATACCAAGGAAGATGAATGCTGGATTATATGGTTGTTGAGTTTTGTAAGAAACTACCAAACTGTCTTCCAAGTGGGCTACCATTTTGTGTTCCCACCAGCAATGAGACCTTGCTGTTCCACCTCCTTAGCAGTGTCTGGTGTTGTTAGTGTTTTATATTTTCACATTCTAATAGGTGTGTAGTGTTATTTCATTGTTGTTTCAATCTGCAACTCCTAATAACAGATGGCGCTGACCATCTTTCCATAGGCTTACTTGCCACCTACAGATTTTCCTTGAGGAGATGTCTGTTCAGATCATTTGAACAGTTTTTAATCAGTTGTTTGCTTTCCTGAGTCTTTTCAAGCCAGTATTTGAGCCCATTCCAATCTCCAACAATACCAGATGGCTGTGGATAGTAGTGAACATGGATTGTTCATCATATACCTTGTAGATTCCTCTGCAACATCAGAGAATGGGTCATTCATATGAGTAACCCTGGAGGCCCTAGGCAGAGGGAGCCAGAAGTCACACTCCCTCACTTCTTCCTTGTGGGTCTCAGAGAGGTGGAGGGCCTTGGTCTGAGTGGGGTGGCCTCAGGTCAGCAGAGGGAAGTGTGCCCACGGGGTCCTGGAATCCAGGTGACTATCCCCCCCACCAGGACTTCAGAGGACTGACAGCAGGGGTGGAGTTCTGTGGGATCTCCTGTGTTCTGGGTGGGCACTCCCCTCAGTACACACTCAGGGTTTCTACCTTAGCTTCTGACACCACCCAGGCCTCCTCTCTCTGCTCACTTGATGAACCCTCCTCCAAATAAGACCCTCACCTCCCTGAGAAAGAGGAAGTAAGGGGGCCTATCATGAGGTCACCTTTGCCCAAGGACTCCCTTGGCTGATGGCAGGGGCAGCACTCTGTAGGTCAGATTTTCAGAAAATTTATAATTCTGGTTTCAACTCTTTTTTTTCTTACTACAGCATATCAGCAGATAAAGTTCACACATGAGTAGATAAAATTCACATATAAAATCGCAACTTACAAATCTGATGATCCTGGGTTTTACTGTAACCAAAGAGTTTCTTCCCCCCCAGAAAAACAAGTCAAATACTATGGCAGCCTCTTATTTTCTCATGGCTTTCATGAAGTCATTTTATAAGCATTTAATAATAAAATAAACCACCTAAACATTAAAA